TACCACCTGTCCTTCAAACTACTCGTATGACCGAAAGTCTGGTACATTTTCGTACTGCCTATGGTATTGTGAGTTACGTGGTTTTTGGGCTATAATTGCTTTAGAACGTGACTCGACGTCGCAATTTGTGATTCCGTCAGGGCTTAAGGAAAACAGATTTGCAAACGAAATGCTTAGAGCTTGTTCGATTCTCAGGTCTCCCGCATGACATTCGGCAAAGTCAGAGCGCCGGCAGCCAGCTGGAGCTGAAAATAGAGTAATTGCCTTTCCATAAAACAAAGGAAACGAAAGGAAAGACAAATAAATAGAATCTTCGGCAGAGCAAATCAACAAAATTTGTTCATAAACATATGTACCAGTCCAATTCCCATCCGCATCTACATTTTGTATGGCCAGCTGCCTATTGTATGCCCCTCCGAAATGGGGCAGACAAAGAATCAGCCCGTCACTAGAGCAGGCGACGACGTCTTCGATTCTCTTATTCGTATGCTTTATTTTAATTGCATGTCTACGGAATGCTTTACTAATCTCTCGCCTCTCCTCTCCAATCTCCCGCTCTCTGCAGGGAACGTAAGAAGTCGCCAAGATGGGGGACATGTTCCGTAGTGAGGAAATGGCACTTTGCCAGATGTTTATACAACCAGAGGCCGCGTACACCTCCGTCTCTGAGCTGGGAGAAACCGGCTGTGTGCAGTTCCGCGACGTAAGTTCAGACTAGCTCAATGCCTTGCCAGACCCCTGACTAATTCCTGCTGCTTCCTGCTCCACAGCTGAACATCAATGTGAACGCCTTCCAGCGCAAGTTTGTGACTGAGGTGAGGCGCTGCGATGAGCTGGAGCGCAAGATCCGCTACATCGAGACGGAGATCAAGAAGGACGGCATCGTGCTGCCCGACATCCAGGACGACATCCCGCGGGCGCCCAACCCACGTGAGATCATCGACCTGGAGGCGCATCTGGAGAAGACCGAGTCGGAGATGATCGAGCTGGCCCAGAACGAGGTTAACATGAAGTCCAACTATCTGGAGCTGACCGAGCTGCGCAAGGTCCTCGAGAACACCCAGGGCTTTTTCTCCGACCAGGAGGTGCTCAACCTGGACTCCAGCAACCGCGGTGCCGGTGGTGACGAGGCAACGGCCCAGCATCGTGGACGCCTCGGCTTTGTGGCCGGTGTCATCAACCGGGAGCGTGTGTTTGGATTCGAGCGCATGCTGTGGCGCATCTCGCGCGGCAATGTGTTCTTGAAGCGCTCCGACCTGGATGAGCCTCTCAACGATCCGGCCACCGGTCATCCCATCTACAAGACGGTCTTCGTGGCCTTCTTCCAGGGCGAGCAGCTGAAGAACCGCATCAAGAAGGTGTGCACTGGGTTCCACGCCTCGCTCTATCCCTGTCCCAGCTCGCACAACGAGCGTGAGGAGATGGTGAAGAATGTGCGCACGCGCCTGGAGGATCTGAAGCTGGTGCTTAGCCAGACCGAGGATCACCGCAGCCGTGTCCTGGCCACAGTGTCCAAGAATCTGCCCTCGTGGTCGATCATGGTCAAGAAGATGAAGGCCATCTACCACACTCTGAACTTGTTCAACATGGATGTCACCAAGAAGTGCCTCATCGGCGAGTGCTGGGTGCCCACCAAGGATCTGCCCGTCGTGCAGAAGGCGCTCTCTGACGGCTCTGCGGCCGTGGGCAGCACCATTCCCTCGTTCCTCAACGTGATCGACACCAACGAGCAGCCGCCGACCTTCAACCGCACCAACAAGTTCACGCGCGGTTTCCAGAACCTGATCGACGCCTACGGAGTGGCCTCGTACCGCGAGTGCAACCCGGCCCTGTACACGTGCATTACATTCCCCTTCCTGTTCGCCGTGATGTTCGGCGATCTGGGCCACGGCCTGATCCTGGTTCTCTTCGGCGCCTGGATGGTGCTCTGCGAGCGCAAGCTTGCCCGCATCCGCAACGGCGGCGAGATCTGGAACATCTTCTTCGGCGGTCGCTACATCATCCTGCTCATGGGTCTGTTTGCCGTCTACACGGGCATCGTATACAACGACGTGTTCTCCAAGTCGATGAATCTGTTCGGTTCGCGATGGGTAAACAACTACAACAGAACCACGGTTCTGACCAATCCGAGCCTGCAGCTGCCGCCCAACAGCTCCGCTGTCGGTGTCTATCCCTTTGGCCTGGATCCCATCTGGCAGCTGGCGGACAACAAGATCATCTTCCTCAACAGCTTCAAGATGAAGCTGTCGATCATCTTCGGTGTACTCCACATGGTGTTTGGCGTAAGCATGTCCGTTGTGAACTTCACGCACTTCAAGCGGTACGCCTCAATCTTCCTGGAGTTCGTGCCTCAGATCCTTTTCCTTCTGCTCCTCTTCGGTTACATGGTGTTCATGATGTGAGTTATACGTTAAAAAAACCCACCCACAGCATCCGCTAAAACATAATTGTTATTTCAACCTGTTTAGGTTCTTCAAGTGGGTCACCTACGACTCCCACACAGACTTCCAGCCCCATACTCCCGGATGCGCCCCCTCAGTGCTGATCATGTTCATCAACATGATGCTGTTCAAGAACACGCCGCCTCCGAAGGGCTGCAAGGAGTTTATGTTCGAGTCTCAGCCTGATGTGCAGAAGACCTTCGTCATCATGGGCCTCATTTGCATCCCTTGGATGCTGCTGGGCAAGCCGCTCTACATCAAATTCACTCGCAAGAGCAATGCCCACGTGAGTGCACACTCATATATCTTTCACTAATGTGATTACTTACTGTTTGTTCTCTGCTTTTATTTAGTCCAAACACAATGGCCAGTTGACTGGCAACATGGAGGTGGCCGAAGGCGAGACTCCCCTTCCAACGGGCTTCTCCGGCAACGAGGAGAGTGGCGGCGGCGGCAACAGCCACGACGATGAGCCCATGAGCGAGATCTACATCCACCAGGCCATCCACACCATCGAATATGTGCTCAGTACCATCTCGCACACGGCCTCCTATCTCCGTCTGTGGGCTCTGTCCCTGGCTCATGCTCGTGAGTGTTATAAGAACCTTCATACTATTACAGCCATCTAATGCTAATAACCAACCATTTTACAGAGCTCTCCGAAGTGCTGTGGAACATGGTGTTGTCGCTGGGCCTTAAGATGTCCGGCGTTGGCGGCATCATTGGACTGTACATCATTTTCGGCGCCTGGTGCCTGTTCACCCTGGCCATTCTCGTCCTGATGGAGGGTCTGTCCGCTTTCCTGCACACCCTGCGTCTTCACTGGGTGGAATTCATGAGCAAGTTCTACGAGGGTCTGGGCTACGCCTTCCAGCCATTCAGCTTCAAGGCCATCCTGGATGGCGAGGAGGAGGAATAAACTGACCAGAAAGTGTTCAAGCCACTGCATGAATAATTAACTAGCCGAGCTTTGTTTTTCAAATTTATTTAATTTGTTTTGTTGAATGTTTTTGTTTTGTTTTTTTTCGGACATTGTCAGTATTGTGGTGCTCTTCCCACATCCCATGTTTTTTGTGCCCCTCCCTCCGTTCTAGTACCCAATTCTCCGCTTTGTATTCCATCCGGGGTCCAAGTATTCACCTGAGTTGTGCCTAGTATTCTCAAAGGAACAGTTTCAAAAGCAATAATTTGATATTCATTGTTATAAATAATAATTCTAATAAATATAAAGCAACGAAGAGAACAGCAATAGTTTATTTATTCTTCAATTAAGTCATTCCGGGACCAGGTACACCTCATCATCGTGAGTGTGTGTGAGGTATGTTCTATATGGTTATGAATCATTTATAAATAATGCTCAAATTAAGACTTTATAAAAGTCTATAGTCCTAGGCCCTATTTTAATGTATGCCAATATCGATTGCAATGATTAATTATAACTTTTTGTAGTTATCTGGTGGGGTTGTGGCCAATGACCACCATTATCATAATCAATCTTTATCAATTTATATAGCCAGGGCCGGTTTTATTTGTTATGATGCCGAGGACATCAATGAGACGAGGCGCTTTGATATTGGAAGTCTGGACTTTTGGCGCCCAGGGCCTTAAAGCCGGGCCTGTGTATAGCATAGCATATGATATGTATATCATTACTGTGAGGTGTCATCAACGAAACGCTTACAAACTATCAATGGTAATGATTACATTCATATATTATATATACATGTATTCAATATTGCATTCTTTGATAAGAATTTCATGACATTAATTGATTGATTATACATATATGTATGTTATCTAACGCTTTAATTATCAATCAAGCTATTGAAACCTCGATAATGGAAAATACTGGATTATGTCAGCCTGCCGATGTAAATACAAATTACAACAAATAATTGTATAATATTAGATGGCATAAACTGAATCAGATCAAGGATGTAGATCACAATTGAAGTTATAATTTGTTCGGCTGTGTTAACAAGATCTTAAAATGTTAATCGCTTATTTAAATATAGATTAGTCTGTGTATTCGGCACATCGCTTATGGTGTTATATCTTTAATCTCTTTCATCGACGATGCACAGCGATCCTTCGGGACGGAAGAAGGCCTGAGATCTCAAGAAAGGGTATACGCCTACCTTGCAATCATCACACATATCACTAATAAATGAATGTGGAATATTTAGTTCGGGAAGGAAATACTTTCTTGGGCATAGATATTGCAACGAATGGGCTAATCCAATATAGTGGATTATATAGTAGATAATAAATACTCTTTATGTTTATATTCCCAATCAGGAAAATACGTAACAATATTGATGATGTAAATTCATTGATGTGTAAGATCTCTCCTTCCGTAAGCGTTATCTGAATACCTGAATACCTATTGAAACGGTCTTTTAACTATCAAGCAATTGCTTTTTAATGATGATAAACCTGCAAAGTTGAAAACCTTTTTCTACCCGTGCCCAAGAACCTTCCTCGTCGCCGTCACTTGACCAGGTCAAACAGTTTTTCGGTGGCGATCTCTCACAAAAAGGATATTAATAATTTGTAAAAATGCCAGAATGGTGGAGTTTCGGCTCCCAGGAGACCGACAGCATCTTCCGCAGCGAGAAGATGTGCCTGGTGCAGATTTTTTTGCAGCCGGAGGCAGCCTACGACATAATTTCCGTGTTGGGCGAGGTGGGATGCGTCCGATTTCGAGACGTGAGTGCAGGGCAGGGATGTGACGTGGATGTGACCTCAGTGATCTGATCTCTGATCTTCCTCTAGATCAATGGAAGCGTCCCCGTCCAGCAGAAAAAGTTCATCGCGGAGGTGCGTCGCTGCGATGAGCTGGAGCGGAAGATCCGTTATGTGACCGTCGAGCTAGAAAAAGACGGGCACAAGGCAATCGATCTGATCGAGGATTTGCCATGGGAATCGGTCCCGTGTGGCAGTCGGCAGCCAATATGATCATCTTCTTCAATACGTACAAGATGAAGTTGTCGATTATCTTCGCAGTGCTGCATATGACCTTTGGCATAACTTTGTGCACTTCAAGAACTACTCCGACATTTTACTGCAGTTCGTGCCGCAGGTGCTCTTCCTGATGTTCGGCTACATGTGCTTCATGATCTTCTAAAAGTGGGTCAAGTACAGTGCCACCAGCGATATCCTGGCCAACACTCCAGGCTGTGCCCCCTCCGTTCTGATTATGTTCATCGACATGGTGATGTTCAAGAAGGTAGCCGGGTTGCGAGGTTAGCATGTTCTCCGTTCAGAGGGAGCTGGAGACGACTTTCCTCGCGCTGGCCCTGATCTGCATACCCTGGATCCTGGTCGGTAAGCCACTCTATATCAAGTATAAACGCCGGAACAAGGTCTGTTCAATTAGCTCTAGACTGGAGGATATTCTTAGCTCTAATGGTGCTCTTCTTTAGCCTGAGGTGGCCGAGTCCCAGGTGTCGGTCGACCATAGCGAGGAGGATGACGAGCCCATGAGCGAGATCTGGATACACCAGGCTATTCACACCATCGAGTACATCCTGAGTACCGTCTCTCACACGGCTTCCTATCTCCGTCTCTGGGCCCTGTCCTTGGCTCATTCTCGTAAGTTAACCCATTCTCATTCATATTTCAAGCAAGGATTTCGTCTTTATCTTCGAATCCCTTCCAGAACTCTCACTGGTGCTGTGGGAAATGGTGCTGATGAAAATACTGTCGTTTCCATTAGGCTATGTAGGCTCCATTGCGATCTTCCTAGTCTTCGCCATTTGGGCGTTCTTCACTATTTCTATAATGGTCGTGATGGAGGGCCTGTCCGCCTTCTTGCACACCCTTGATCTTCACTGGGTGGAGTTCTTCACGGGATCCGGAAACCCATACACGCCTTTTAGCTCCAAATATCTGTTGAAACCGGAGGAGGATGACTAAAATGCAGTGAAACCCAAAGTATAATGGTTCCACATATATAATCCATTATTAAACGATGTAATCTAGAACTTCCTAGACTTAATTGATTTTGCAATCCACAGAGAAAGGCCTTTCCGATAGTAGAAACATTTAAATTTGCAAAGAAGTACTATCCTTCAACTTCAAAGAAGTCTGACCCTGAATTTTTTAACCATTTTTAAGCAAGAAAACACCTATTTGAAACAGGTATTCCTAAGGTCAGCCGCTTACTCCCATCACCTTTGTATATATTTTGACCGTGATCGAGGACGATTAGGAAGGTCTGGCGAATATAACCGTAACCTTATTAGGTCACCGAATAGAACCCATTAATAAAAATTGTTCTTTCATTTGGCGGCCCACTTCAGCGACGTGTTTGGTTTTTTGGTTTGGTCTATGGTTTGGGTTTGGGTTCGGGTTTCGGTTTTGGTTACGGTCTCGAAGCGTAAAAAGGTCATCTCGGCGCATTGAGGGCAGAGCTCAGCGGAAAATTCTTGCCGAGGGCCGCAGATTTCAGTGGAATTAGTGGAGCCACAGCTGCGGAATCCGAAACTATTTCCCGCGAATGTCGCCCCGCTCGAGGTTATTTAGCTTGGACCGGAGCGCAGCTCTGGCCAGTTGTGGGCCAAACGAGCTCCGGAAAGGTCTCTCTTATGCTATACGTGGAAATGCGGTGTCTTCATTTGGCTGTGCTGCTGTGCTCCTTGCTGGTTGTCTGCAGGGCGGACACCCTGGTCCAGCTTCACGTGAATCGTCCCTACAACGACGTGAACGAGAAGTTCGTGAGCTTCGCCGTGCGTCCGGAGGATCTGTACGATGCCCTGGACGGGAAGAACAGGAAGGCCGTGACCAGCATGGCCACTCTGCTCGGCGATGCTCACATCAAGTTCGTGGGCGACTTCTACTTTGCCACCAATGCACCCACCCGACTGCGCAATCCCACAAAAATCATATGGAAGGGCTTCAATCGCTGGACGCGGTAAGTTTGTGGCTAGCGCTCCGACTCCGGATTCCAATGGAAGCATCTTTTTCCCATCTTTAAGTGCTGTTAACTGGACCATGATCATCCCCGTGCCGTATGCCCCGGACGAGTGGGACTCGATGCACACCCTGAAGATACTCAACAGCTCCTACATGGTGGGCATCACGGACTGCATCTGGCAGCTGGGCACGGACTTTGGCACCTCGCGGGCCAAGGACTACGTGCAGGAGCTGCGCACCCTCAAGCTGATGACGGACACCTTCAAGCCGTACGTGGACGACTGGCGGGTGATGGGCGCAGACATCTCCGCGGGCAGCAGTGCGGAAGAGACGCGTAGATACGTGGACATGTCCAAGGACTTGAATGCAGCCTTTGGCTGGACGCAGTGAGTGCTCTCATTGAAGGTTCCCATAGAATAGATCCTAAAGACGTCCCTTCCCTTACTCTATCAGGCCTGCCAATATGCTTCCGCAGTCCAGCCTGGGAAGCTACATCTACGACAGCGATCCGGCTTTGAGGGCACTTCAGCAGCTGCGCGTCCCTCTGTGGCTGACTCTGCCTGAGGAGCGGTCCTCTTCCGCCCAGGCCATCAGCAAGCGACTGCTGGGTGACGAGACCACGGATGCTCTACGCTGGGCCCAGACCCTGGGAGATGCGGCCAGCAGCGGCTTTGATGTGATCTTCAAGAGGATGTCCCTCGTAGACTTTGAGCGCCCCACCTTCTCACTGTATGTGACGGCGTTGTTCAAGAAGGTCATGGGTTCACGGGTGTTCCCGGCCAGGCCGCTGAACCTCTTCGCCCCCAGCAACAAGCTCTACACGCACTGCGCCAATGCCGTCTCCGGGGGATTGGCCTTCATGGTGGTCAACACGGAGGACCAGCCCATGACGATCACTGTCAGGAGCATGACACGCCTCGCCAGCAGCGAGATTTGGCAGTATGTTCTCTCCGGTCTGGATGGTCGCGTGCAGCTGAATAATGTGAGGCTGACCCTAAACTCCACTCTGCGGCCCCTGATCAAGGCCAACGATGCCAGCAAGCCCCTACAACTGATCACGCCGAGCATGTCGGTGGGCTTCTGGGTCCTGCCCACGGCCGACCTGGAGCACTGCCAGTTCACCGAGATCGAGACTGGCGACGCCAGCGGCGAGGCATCGACGGAGGCACGCCGCTCCAATCGCTACAGCTCCGCGGACCGACTGCTCCAGCGTCTGATCGAAGAGACGGCCGTCTCGAGAGGATCCCTGCAGAGCACCATCAACCGGAACCGCCGATTCGTGCTGGACAAACAGGAAACCGACTCCCTGCTGGACCAGCTGCTGCAGCCGTTCAACCAGCCCACAGCGTTGGCTCCTGCCAAGCGAGAGGCGCGCAAGGAGGCAGCCAGTCAGCAGGTGAGGCCCCACGAGGCCATGGCCTGGCTGCACCAGGTGCTGGAACAGACCCGCGACGTGGCCAAGCGACGCGGCAGGCGCAGTGCCGCCAACTATGGCGGTCCCTACTTCTACAACCGGCACGGAAAGAAAACGGCGCTGACCAAGAAGATCACCGAGATCCGAAAGCCAGAGCGCAAGGCCAAGCCACTGTTCGACTTCGATGAGTTCGACGAGGAGAAGTTCTTCAAGAAGCTCGGCGAACAGACTGAGGAGCCGCCGTCCTACACCCGCCTGCCCGAGGGCGATGTCCTTCTGCGGCACATCGAGTCGGTGGATGGTGAGGAGAGTGAGCAAGATGCGGAGCCAGTTGTCTACAGGAAGTACAAGCCCAAGTCCAAGACACAACTCAAAATTATCCAACGATCTCTAGAGGATACAGAACCCGAGCAGGATAGGGAGCAGGCGCCGATGCCGGCACAGGAGAGGGCTGAGGGGCGTGGAAAGCTGCGACTACTTCCCACGGAGTTCTTCGAGGCCCTACCCGCACCCAAGCAGAGCAAACGCTTGAGCCTCGGGGCCACCCTTAACTCTTTGCTCTTTCCCGAACCCTTCTCTAGCAAAGCCAGCATAAGCAAGACCAAGTCCATGCCGCAGGAAGAGCCTGAGGAGGAGGTGGAGCCTCTAGCCAAGCGTCGTCCCGCGAAGATGGGGCATGTAGCCAACGACTTCCTGCAGGCGCAGCGAGAATTGGGCAAGAACTTCCTCAGCCACATCCACAAGCATGAGCTCCCGTTGGACGATGAGCATGCTCAGGAGAGTTCCCTCGAGGCTGAGCCAGCTAAAAAACCCACTAACCAGAAATATTTTGGAGCCAAGGATGCGCTAGTACCGGTGCCAAAGCCTAAGCGGCTGACCCAGAAGGCGGACGAGAGCATCACGTCCTGGTGGGAGATGCCCTCTCTGCGCCGGCGACGCGCACTGTCCGTCGATCATTCAGACGATGAGGTGCGCTCCAACGCTATCGACAAAATGGATCGGGACGATATGCTGCCCCTGGGACGTTACGCCTTTTACGAATACAAGGTGGATCAGCCGGTGGAGGAGTCAACTTCAGAACAGTCCACGGAGCCCCCCAAAGATTCCAAAATCATGAGAATAAGCAAGACCAGAACTCCGACAACCAGCCGCAAGACATCGCTCTCCGACACCCTGGTGTCGACGGTCAAGTCGAAGGTCTCCCGCTTCATGAACATCGTCTCGCGGCACATGAGCGAGTGGTACAACACCCTCACCAAGCACCTGGACACCGAAACCGGTCCATCCCGGCCTGCCTTGAGCGTCAGCGGTAACTCCATCGATTAATACGCGATCGAAAGGAGTCCTTGAAGTGGTTTATTTGTATTCGAAGATTGGAATTGAAATTAAGTACAGAGTGAACTTAGCAATTAGTGTAAATATGTATTTATGTACATTACCACCTAAACAACCTTAGTGGAATTCTATTTTTCTAGATAATGGAACCGTAATTATCTATTTCAAATAAAAACGCAGCAACAAGACGGAGAACTAGGTGAGCTTTGATTAAGCTTTTGCTAGGTCGATCGGCTTTTTATATTGTTCGAAGATCGAAGATACTATGCCACTGTACACGAAACAAAACAATTAAAATGTACTATAAAGTTAACATATTATTTCGCTTTATCCCAACTGCTATGCCATTCAGTTATGTCAGAAGGAAATTCTATGTATCGAACGTACATATGTTGGAAAAAGTATGGAAAAGAATGTACTTATATATGGAACTTCTGAGATTTCTAAATATAATAGGATTGATATGTAATATAGAACAAATTTCTGCTTCTAAACTGTGTGTATTGATATTGATATTGGCTATGGCTATGACTTACTTCCTTACTCGGTTCTTATACCAGATACTATAAGAGTATAGGGACATATAAGAGAAGGAAGCATTTCCGACCCTATAAAGTATACATATTTATTCCTGTTCAGGTTGGTCGATATAGGTACATCTTGGTTTGAGATGAGATAAGAAAGACAGTTGTAGCGGAAAAATGTAAACAGATAAAATATTTTAAAATTTGGGATAAACAAAGTGCAAGAATTTACATCATAGCACTCTTCATGTTTTTCCCATCTTTCATGACAAGTGCGAGCAAAATTGATAGAGATCGCTGAGAGAGTTTGAGAGAGTATGCGGCAGTCTTGGACTCCGATACTAATTCCGGCGCTTTAGTATAATTATACTGTCATTAAGACTATCACACACAACGTTCCCGCACGGTCTTATTTCAGTTGTGCATTTCATTGCTTTGTGCAGAGAGAGAGAGAGAGAGAGAGAGACATTATTACCGTTACCATGATTCCCTTCCATTTTCAAGTTTTCCACTTCAGAATTCCAAATTCTCAATCTTCAGAATTCTTGTACCTGGATGTTTAAGTATTCAAAATTTGGAAAAAATGCAATACATAGTGCAATATCAAAACAAATTCTGTTTGTCGATAGATGAGGTCTGTCTGTGTTGATGGGGCCTAGAGAGCACTGGTCATGCACCTCACAGTCTACGGCTCCAGGGCCAGTCTTTCTGTGTCTAAAATAAAGTTTAAATGCGCCTGTTTGGATTATTTGTATACATTTTTAGTTAGTTTTACCAGATTTTTTCTCGCCTTCTATTTTTCTCTATCTGCGTTTCATTCTCTGAAACTCGTGTACTCACGGTTATTACCATTTTTTAATTGACACATTCCTCATTATTTTCAACATAATTCATCCGTAATTATCCAAGAGCTTGCAAAAGCTCTCGCCAGAGGGCCCGCTGCTGTCTAGCTCTTCTGAGCTCTCTCTCAGCCGTTGAGACTCGCTCACCTTGGCTCTTTTTGAGGCCGCTCTTCGCGACCCCACTGGGAGAGCCGACCGACTGGCCTGGCCGAAGACTGGCACAAAGAGGATCCACAGAGAAGCGACTCTCCGCCACAGAAGCGGCGTTGAATCAAAGCTTTAAGTTGTTCCGCCGGGCCGGCCAACCTGTTACCATGGCCAACACGACGACAGCCAGCAACAACAACCACAGAGGAAAGAGCAGCGAAAGCAACTATCATAGCGACTATAACAATACCAATAAGTGGAGACGATCCGATCCGCAGCCTCGGCTCCGATCCGTCAGTCTCTGAGCGAGCGTTCAAGGCGAAGGTTGTTTCAGTATTTCAGTGTGGATCCCCAGAGTTCCGTTCCAATCAGTACCGCTCCCCGAAGCTAGAGCTAGTCCAAAGTGCAGGCCACAAGCAGTTGCAGCAGACTATAGATCAGTCCGGACCAAAACAGGTGAGTGTTCATTAAACTTGTCGTGAGCTCTGGCCAAGTGATCTTCTGGGCCAAATTCAGCCAACAAGACACTAAAACGGGTCAGTTCTCTTTCTCGGCCTGGCTGAGACTGCACTCAGGGGCGGGGCGGGGTGCCTGGGCGCACTGGAAGGGGAGCGAGCGGCGCACGGAAGCGTAACCAGAGCCAGTCTTGAAGAAATCTTTTGTGACGTGGACAGGGAAAAACGCAACACCAAAAGCGACTCAAACGAAAACACAACTCGACTCGACTCCACTCGACAACATGAAATTTCAGACTTTCTTTCTCTCTTCTTACCCAACTTCTTTCGTTTGGACGCCAATGAACTTTGATTTCGGCTACAGACAGCGTTAAAAATACGTAATAATAAGCCATCATAATTACGCACATGTGTGAAAGTGAAAGTGTAAATTTCGACATTACAAATCGATTTCATAGCTATTGTAAAATTGATAGATGTCTGGGTCCAGACGAACCGGACCGGTAAACCGAAAAAAGTCCAAATAACCCAAAGCCAAACTGGTTTGGGTTTTGGGGTTACCTTAAGAGAGTCGTGTCCGTCGTCGTCTGGCCTGTGTTGCCTCAAAACTAAGTATTATATAAACTGATTTCCATATTGTCACAAATACATAACACGCCATCATATTTATAGGATGGGTTTCGTCTTCGGTTGGTTGCCAACCGAGCACTATGTGCGCGACATCTTTCTCCTGACAATCTCGGCGGCCATTGCGGCCACCCTGATGAGCATTCGCTTCTACTTGCGCATTACGGCGGGACGTTGTTTCACCGAGGTAACGCAACCACCCCCTCCCCCCCTCTAAGCTCCCACATATCCAAAAAGCCAAAACAGCCAGCCCAAACTCCCCCCAAAACAGCCCCGATCGTTCAAATCGTGACATGACTTGGACTTGGACTTTGTGTCCCAGCCACTTCCGTTTGAAATTCTTTTGAGATTCTGTATTCAGGGCAGGGGCTCCATACTCAGACCGGTGTGCGAATCTGTCTTTCATATGCACGCTGAGACTACGACTTAGACAGATAGGGATTAAATGCTAAAGATAGATTGTGAAAATTCGAGTTTTCTGTGTATTAAATATCTACACACACATGCATATCTATACCATCTATACCATACCCATGTAGCTGAAGAAAATGGCTTTAAATGTGGAAAAGCCCCCATGAAACTGAGTTCAATGGGGTTGTTTTGCCTAATGTTTCGGAGTGAATCGTTGCTTGACACATGAACTGGTTTCAATATTCTTAATTAGTTATCATGCCATATTTACTATAACTATAGCTTTTGGATTCTCTTCGATAATAAACATAGTATTATTAGGAAAACTGATATATCTATAACGATATCAACGATCTCCGATTGTGGAATTTGCCAGAGTTTAGCAGAGCCTCTATCTGGAACTCGGCTATTCGATCTGTAAACAATCCAAACAATCTTAACCGCATTCTCTACGAATCTCAACGCAATTTTGTAATTGCCTTGCCCGCTGTGACGCGTCAACTTAAATGTGCATATATTTCAGTACATATGTACTTCGGACAGATGCGAGTACGTCACATCTCTTGGGTGCAGATAGAGGTGTATAATTTACTCACAAATTGTATCTCATAGATACAGTTACCACCTGTTCGCCAGTATATTATGCATTGCATCTGCGTCTCGATTACCAGATTAGAGAATTTGAGTCAGCGGAAAGTTCTGAGCTCTCAGCTCTCGGGTTCCCCACTGGGGTGCAATTAAAAGCGCCGTTAATGGGTATGAAAACAAGAAGATACACGTTCCAAACCCTCATTCAAGTCAGAGACTGTGATTATTTTGATAATTGTTGCTGTTTAGATTGTTCAGACCCGCCCCAGACCTTGTTGATTCCATCTCAGTCCCAGTGCCGGTCCCATATTAACTGATTGACTTTTGACATCGTTTACAGACAAAAATGGAGGGCAAAACCGTTATCATCACTGGCGCCAACAGCGGCATTGGCAAGGAGACCGCCAAGGATCTGGCTGGTCGCGGAGCACGCATCATTATGGCCTGCAGGAACCTGGAGACGGCAAATGCAGTCAAGGGTAAGTCAATCTAAAAATAATATATAGAATCAAGTTATTTACTAAGAGATGCTTACCAATCGACAGATGAAATCGTCAAGGAGACGAACAACAACAAGATTGTGGTCAAGAAGCTGGATCTGGGTTCCCAAAAGTCGGTGCGCGAGTTCGCCGCCGACATCGTGAAGACGGAGTCCAAGATAGACGTACTCATCCACAACGCCGGCATGGCTCTGGCCTTCCGCGGCCAGACCAGCGAGGACGGCGTAGAGCTGACCATGGCTACCAATCATTACGGACCCTTCCTGCTGACCCACCTCCTTATCGATTTGCTGAAGAGGAGCGCCCCAGCTCGCATTGTCATTGTGGCCTCGGAGCTGTACCGCCTGTCGTCGGTCAATCTCAACAAGCTTAACCCCGTGGGCAGCTTCCCGGCCGCCTACCTCTATTACGTTTCCAAGTTCGCCAACATCTACTTTGCCCGCGAGCTGGCCAAGCGCCTGGAGGGCACCAGGGTGACCGTGAACTTCTTGCATCCGGGAATGATCGACTCGGGCATCTGGCGCAACGTGCCGTTCCCCCTTAACCTGCCAATGATGGCCATCACGAAGGGCTTTTTCAAGACCACCAAGGCTGGTGCCCAGACCACCATCTACTTGGCCACGTCCGATGAGGTTGCTAACGTTAACGGCAAGTACTTCATGGACTGCAAGGAGGCCACCCTCAATGCCGCCGCCCTCGACGAGGAGAAGGGCCGCAAGATCTGGGAGGAGTCCCTCAAGATCGCCAAGATAACGCCCCAGGATCCCAAGATCTAAGCTGGCATGGGCTCCAGCGCCTACGTCTGCTAATGCATAGCAATAGATTCTTTCCACGTATGCCCATTCAACTGATTTGATTTTTTGTAATTAAGGGGGAGTTCAATGTAGCCTAAGTTTTTCATTTAAAAAAATAAAGTTCTGTATAAATATTCAACTGGGTTTGTGATGAAATGAAGAGTACTTGTTCGACACAAATGAAAGGCCAAAGCTCAATGAAAGGTATTCAAAATGCCTTTACATCGGTACAATCATACATTCCATCGGTAATTATTTCAATGTAGTCGTTTTGATTATATTCAGTATTATGGTAGTAATAAGCTGGAGAGCCAGACGCCCCAACATGTACAGAATACGTAATACGAATACGTGAACATTAGAGACGCATAAGCATTTTTGCAATAGTCGGTATAACGTGATCTTAACTACGCTATGCAACACCATATTGATGCTTCGAACACAACCAACT